TTTATAGTTTCAGGTCCTATATTTGTCTTTAGTCCTTTTTTTTTTTCTTTTGTCCTTTTTTTTTTCCTTTTTGTCTTTTTTTTTTTTTCGTGACCGGCAACGGGATCGCAACCCTCAGTGTCGCGCCTGCACTGCGCTCAACCAGTGAGCGGACCGGTCTCTATATGGGATCCAAACCCTCGGCGGGAGCGCCACCACACTCCCAAGCACCGCACTCTACCGAGTGCGCCACTGGGCCGGCCCGTCTTTAGTCCATTTTGAGTTGATTTGGGTTTATGTTAGAATCACCCAATGCATTGTTATTTTATTGCTTTAAACAAACAATTGTCTTTAGAGCAGTTAGAGAAATAAGAGATTCTAACTCACCTTCAGCTGTTCCTTCTCTGCTGGGTTTCCTTTCCTCAAGCAGATCCGAGTTTCTGACCTGTATCATTTTCCTTCTCTCTGAAGAAATTCTTTTAACATTTCATAAAGGGCAGGTCTGCTGGCAATAAATTCCGTTTTTGTTTTTCTGAGAAAGTCTCAATTTCTTCTTCACTTTGAGGGACTTTTGTCAACACAGAATTCTAAGTTTTTTTCCCCCAGCATTTTAAAGATGTTACTCCACCCCTTTCTGGCCTGCATGGTTTCTGATGAGATGTCCAGTGCAATTGCCACCCTTAGTTTTCTGTAGGAAGCTGTTTCTTCCCTCTAGTTTCCTTCAAGATTTTCTCTGTCTTTGGTTTTATCCAGCTTGAATATGATGAGCCCAGGTGTGGTTTTTGTTGTGTTTTATTTTTTTGTTATTTGCCCAGCTTGGTGTTCTCTATGTTTCCTGGATCTACGGTTTGGTCTCTGTCACTCATGCTGGAAAGTTCTGTTTCAGCATCTCTTCTGCCCCTCCCCCACTTCTCCATAGTGGCTGTCCTGCCCTCTGACACCGTTTCATGTTTCCTGGATGGTTTGTTCCATGGAGGTTTCCCCATCCTTTTTTCTCCTTGCATTTCATTAGGAGTTCTATTGGCCTGCCTTCACATTCACTGACTCTCTGCTTTGCTCTGTTGAGTTGACCGATGAGCCTGTGAAAGCATTCTTCATTTCTGTTACTGTGCTGCTGACTTCCAGCATTTTCTTTTGATTCTTTCTCAATGTTTCTAGCTCTCTGCTGACATCCCCATCTGTTCTTGCATGTTGTCTACTTTTTCCAGTAAAGACACTTCATCTGACAGTTTCTGCTTTGTGTAAGCAAATCTCCGGAGCTGTGTCTCTCTGGCTGTGCCTGTCTCTTAAAGTCTCAGGGTGCCGGTTTGTCCTGCAGCACCAGTTCTTTGCTGGGCCCAAGAAAAGCCACCGGTTTAAAGTTTACCCAGCTCTTCTTTGCTGTGAGGAAGGGAGTGATAACTGCCAAGCGCTCTTCATATTGGAGATGACACTAGAGTCCTCTACTGCTGAACTTTAGGACACAAGTTCCTAAAGTCAGATTTCTAATCAGTCTTCTTTATAGATTTCCTTAAGAAACAGGGTAAGGCACAGAAGCTTGAAGTCTTCCTCTGATGTCCCAGCTCTCTGGACCAAGGTCACTTCTGTTTACTTTTTATTGTAGAATGGCTCTCAGTGGTGTCCCGCCTCTTATGTAATACCCTCCCTGTGTGGGTGTAACCCAGTGACTTGCTTTTAATGAACAGAGCAGGGCTAAAGTGGTTGGAGTGGCTCTGCTTCCTGTCACAACTCGCTAATAATCTCGTTAGTTATTCACTTGGGGCTTCTGTATTGGTTTCCAGTGGTGCCTGTAACAAATTACCACAAACTGAGTGGCTTCAAATAGCGGAAGTTTATTCTTTTACAGTTCTGGAGGCAGAAGTCTGGGTGTTGACAGGGCTGCACTTCCTCTGGAGGCTCGTGGGGAGAATCTGCTGCTGCTTCTTCCAGCCTCTGGTGGCTGCGGGCATGCCTTGGCTTGTGGCTGTGTCAGTTCAGTTCTCAAGGCCACATCTTCGGATCTCCTCTGCTCCATCTTCACACACCTTCTCTTCTGTGAGTCTTCAAATCTCCTCTGCCTCCCTCTTGTAAAAACACATGTGATTGCATTTATGGCCCAACTGGATAATCCAGGATAATCTCTGTATCTCAAAACTCTTAATCACATCTGCAAAAAAATTTTTTCCATATAAGGTAACATTCACAGGTTGCAAGGATTAGGATATGACATCTTTGGGGGCCATTCTTCAGCCTTGCACAGCTTGGTTGGCTTCTTTCGTTTGGGAATGCAGGAAGCTATGTAACAGGTGCAGCATTTGTGATGAGCTGTACTCCCTTCTGCCTGAGGGACTGATGTTCTAGGCTAGGGGGCGTGGATCCCAGACAGGTGGTGTTCAAAAAGGCACAAGCCAAATTTACAGTCATCAGCTTGCCTTACCGGGGACCTCTGTGGGGTGAGGTCCTGGACCAAGAATGCAAGATTGTATCCACTTAGCTGTGCAACTGGAGGTGCCACCTGTGTATAGATGCGCCACCAGGCACACTTTGAACAGCAGCAGGCTACCAGCCCAGGTGCCTCCATTGCCTCTGACATATTCAGGACAAACGAGGCAAGCAGCTGTGACCACCCAGATGCTTCAGCGAGTCAGGAGGGGAAGCCTGTAGCCTTACTCCAACCTCCAGGGGGGATGGAACATCCTAGAGGCTTCAGGACTCGGGAGAAGATGTGGCTAAGTAGGAACACCTTTTTCTCCCCCAGCCCTGCCACAGTTTCCTTCTCTGAGCATTATTTCCCTGTACATTCCCACAAAACCAACCAGGTAGGAAGCAGGAGGCCAGGCCAGCAGACTGGGGAGTGTGTGCCCAGCCGCCCCAGCCGGTCCGCAGTGGCCTTCCTCTTTCGTGGATTTTGCGGTGGCTGTGGGTGAGATGGGAGCTTTCTGCAGACAGACCCTGAGGGCTTGCAGTTGGCTTCTCTGCCCTAAGCCTCCCCTATGCTTCCCGCCTGGAGTCTAGTGCTGAAGCCTTTCCCCAGGCCCCTTGGTTAGGTGACAAACTCAGGGATTTCTGCTATTGGACACCCTAATGACTCACCTCACTGAGTCGTTGGTTGAGATAAGGTTTATGAAACAGCAAACGGCAACTATGTATCTAATGGGCTTCCACCAGAAAAAGGCCCCTCCTGGTTGCCGCTGCTCTTGGGGTACTGGCTTGGAACCCACACTCGTGTGGGGCGGTGTATAGAGCAGGTAAAATGCAAGCACTTCAGTTAAGTAACACGACGGAGGCAGTTGTGCCGGACAGGGGTGCGGAAAGGAGCAGTGAAAAGGGCATAAAAACCCAACCTTTGCTCAGTTAGTTGGATGCGGATTGTCTGGCCGAGCCCCGCTTCGCTTCTCCCCGTCTCACGGTGCCCGGGAGACCCTTGCACCAAGACTCCCTTGCAAGACACCGACCCTCCGCCGAGACGGGCGTGGCCCAGGCCCACCGCCCCGTGCACCTCGGCCGCGCGTCACCCGGCGCTTGCTCTCCGTCTCCTCCCCCGCTTAGCCGCAGGGCTACAGTGTCACCAGTAACTCGTGGCGCAGTGGCGCCACTG